GGGGGAGGAAGAGGAAGAGGAAGAGGAAGAAGAGGAAGAAGAAGAAGAGGAGGAGGAGGAGGAGGAGGAGGAGGAGGAGGAGGGGGAGGGGAGGAAGAGGAGGAGGGGGAGGAAGAGGAAGAGGAAGAGGAAGAAGAGGAAGAAGAAGAAGAGGAGGAGGAGGAGGAGGAGGAGGAGAGGAGGAGGAGAAGGAGAGGAAGAGGAAGAGGAAGAGGAGGAAGAGGAAGAGCGTGTGTTCAATGCTGCTGGTTGGGAGGAAGAGGGCGGTCAAGCGAAGGGAGGGTGTAAGGCAGCCTGCCAACCAGGGCCGTTGCTGGCTGCCGTTGGGTCAGAGGGAAGGGAGTTGGGCAGCCGTGGGCAGGACTGAAACCCGGCGAACGTCACGGCGCAAACCCCCTTCGGGTCTCCTTCTCGCTCATCTGGCCCCTTGAAATGACCGGCGAGAGGAGGAGGAGTTTCTCCGCCTGCAGAGACCCCCGTCCGGTGATGGTCTGCCTGTGGTTGAAATCCTCAAGCTCTCCAGACACTGAAGCCCCCCTAAGGACCACGAACGGAGGGGAGACCGAGATTCTCCATCAAGAGACCGGAAGGCGGCCCCCCTACCCCGCCCCCCCCCACCCCACCCCCAATGGCTGCTTTCCTGCCCCCATTTGCAGGACACGTTTCTAGCCTTTGCTGTCTCAATATGGCCTCCCACCAGCCCTTGCCCCCATTATTTCTATTTTGTTTTGATTGATTGGATTGGATTGGTCAATTGCTTACAAGATCATAGGTAAAAGTATAAACATGAGTAAGACATGGGTATGAATCAATGGGGACAATAGGACGGGGGGCACAATTGGGCACTTCTGCACGCCCCTTACACACCTCTTAGGAAAGTGTATTCTCTCCCTTTCTTTCCCTCCTTCCTTCCTTCCTCCTGCTCCTTCCCTTCTCTCCTCCCTCCATTCTTTTCTCTCCTTCCTTCCTTCCTTCGTTCCTTCGTTCCTTCCTTCTTTTAACTTTGATTTTATTTCTTTGATTTGTCAATCACTTACAACAGGGGTCCTCAACCACCGGGCCCCAAACCGGTACCTGTCCGTGCATCATTTTGTACCGGGGTTGTCTATTTTGCTTGGGTGCCGCCATCTTGTTTCGACGGCGCTTGAGAAAGTGCTTCTGGGTGAGCTTGTCGGTTGTCGGTTGGATGGAAAGCGGCGTTTGGGTGCTGAGGGAATCCTCCTCGCGCCTTAGTTTCGTCGAAGGTGGGGGGCGGCTTCGAACGAAGAGCCGTCCCGGTGGCGGTGGAGTCTCGCGTTACTCAGGAGGAGATGAAGAAAGAGCCCGAAAAGCCCATCGACAAAGGTACAAAGGAGGAGTTGAAGGTGGCGGGGAGAAGCGGGGGACGGCTGGATGGCTGGCCGGTTGCTCGGCTCGCCGTGCCTTGGTCGTGCGTACTGGTACCGGTACCGGTCTGTGGATCATTTGTACCGGGCCGTGGTACAAAAAAAGTTGGGGACCACTGGCTTACAATATAATAGGTATAAGAATAAACACGAGTAAGGATACAGGAAATGGGTACAAATAAATGGGGACAATAGGATGGCACAATGGCACAATTGGGCACTTATGCCAGCCCCTTACACACTTCTTAGGAAAGTGTATTCTCTCCCTTTCTTTCCCTCCTTCCTTCCTTCCTTCCTTCCTTCCCCTTCCCTATTCTCTTTCCTTCCCCCTTCCTTGCTTCCTTCCTTCTTTCCTTCCTTCTTTTAACTTTGATTTTATTTCTTTGATTTGTCAATCGCTTACAAGATCATAGGTATAAGAATAAACCTGAGTAAGGATACAGGAAATGGGGACGGATGAATGGGGACAATAGGACAGGGACGGGAGGCACGACGGTGCCCTTCCAGACCTCTTAGGAAACGGGTGAGGTCAATAGCAGATACTTTGAGGGTAAAGGGAGGGAACCCAGAGCTGCCAGTGGGCTGGGAAGCACCGGACAGCATCCCGGGACCGTTCAATCTCTGGGCTTGCGGACTCAGCAGCCGCCACTCCGGGCGAGGAGGATGCCCAGGGGATCCCCTTCCCTTCGGCCAAGCCAAGTCTGCACCTGCTGACACCTTTTTTGGGTCATCCTGATCCATAAAGGATGCTGAGACTCTGGGAAGAGTGCAGAGAAGAGCAACAAGGAAGATTAGGGGGCTGGATAAGGCATACAAGGGATGTCTAGGGAGGGTCTCCGTCCCCCAGGCCAGGGTTGTCTCAAAGCTGCTTTTTCAAACGTCTTCAAACCTTCAACGCCAGTTGGGAGATTCACCGGCTTGTGGAGTTCCGGGCACCACGGCTCCTGCTTTGACCCACCTAGCAGCTCCTTCAGACAGTCCCGGCAGCAGCTGTGGAGTAAGATTTGGGGCTGGCAATAGTGTTCCAGACAAGTTGGAAAGTTGAACTACGGGAGCAGTCGATGCCACGCAGGTCAGAGTGATGGAACAAGGGGATTCCACCTGACAGGTATTCTGCTAGTATAGTTCAAGTAGGTAATGTATGGTATGAGCCAAGGAACTCTAAGGAAGTTTTGGCATGACCTAAAATTGAACAAGTAAAATGGAAAGAAGCCCTGGACAAGGAAATGAAATCCACGGGAGACCGTGAAGTGTTCCCATCTATGCCTTTGCCACAGGGTAGCAAAGCTGTAGGATGCAAGTGAGTGTACAAGAAAAAAGTACTACCAAATCATTATATTTATATTTTTTGTCCATC